GCGACCCCCCCGTCCCCACGCCTCCACCCCGCGCTGCCGTCCTGTCCCCTCGATGATGCCGGTGGCCACGGTGACGCCCACGCTGGCGGTGACATCCATGCCCATGGTAATGATGGCCGCGGTGGCACCGCTCCGTGTGACCTCAGCGCCGCTGTCCCCACGGTGTCCCCACGGTGTCCCCACGATGTCCCCCCCCCTCCCCCCCCCTCCAGGACGGCCGCGAATATTCCCCCGCTGCCACCACGTCGGAGAATGGGGGTGGGAGGCGGAAGCAGAAGGAGAAGGAGTTGGATGAGCTGAAGAAGGAGGTCAACCTGGTGAGGAGGGGGGGAGGAGGGGACAGAGGACGTCCCTGGGGGGGGGGGGGGTTGGGGACATGGGGTGACGCGGTGACATCCGGTGTGCGTCCCCTCCCCCCCCCCGCAGGATGACCATAAGTTGTCCCTGGATGAGCTGGGAAGGAAGTACCAGGTGGATCTGTCCCGGGTGAGACGTCCCCCCCCGCCGTCACCCTGTCCCCCGCTTGTCCCCCTCCTGTGTGTCCCCATGTGGTGCCACCACCCTGTCCCCAATGGCACCCATATCCCCGTATGCCACCACCCTGTCCCTGTGTGTCCCCACGTGTCCCCGCGTCCCCACAGTGCCACATCCCCAACCCCAGGTGTCCCTGTGTGTCCCCATAGGCTCAGTGCCACATCCCCACGTGTCCCCACATCCCCACATCCCCATGGTACCACATCCCCTTCCCCACACGTCCCCACGTGTCCCCATGTCCCTACAGTGCGTCATGTCCCCATCCCCATGTGTCCTCACGTGTCCCCATGTCCCTGTGGTGACACATCCCCATCCCATGTCCCCACGTATCCCCGTGTCCCCACAGTACAACGTCCCCATCCCCACACGTCCCCACGCATCCCCACAGTACCACATCCCCATCCCCACATGTCCCCATGTCCCCATCCCCACACATCCCCACGTGTCCCCACGTGTCCCCACGTCCCCACATCCCCCTGGTACCACATCCCCTTCCCCACACGTCCCCACATGTCCCCATATCCCTGCAGTGCCAAGTCCCCATCCCCACACATCCCCACGTGTCCCCATGTGCCCCCACGTCCCTATCCCCATGTGTCCCCACATGTCTTCATGTCCCCATCCCCAGATGTCCCCATGTGTCCCCACATGTCCCCACGTCCCCATTTCCCCACACGTCCCCATGTGTCCCCACAAAACCCCACATGTCCCCACATCCCCATCCCCACATGTCCCCATATCCCCATTTCCCCACGCGTCCCCATGTGCCCCCACGTCCCCATCCCCACGTGTCCCCAAGTCCCCATTTCCCCACACATCCCCACACATCCCCACGTGTCCCCACGTCCCTGTTTCCCCACATGTCCCCACACGTCCCCACACATCCCCACGCGTCCCCATGTGTCCCCACATCCCCATCCCCACACGTCCCCACACATCCCCACATGTCCCCGCATCTCTATCCCCACATGTCCCCATTTCCCCACGCGTCCCCATGTGCCCCCAAGTCCCTATCCCCACACGTCCCCATTTCCCCATGTGTCCCCACGTGTCCCCACGTCCCTATCCCCACGTGTCCCCATGTGTCCCCACATGTCCCCATGTCCCCACAGTACCACATCCCCTTCCCCACGTGTCCCCACATGTCCCCATCCCCACACGTCCCCATTTCCCCATGTGTCCCCACGTGTCCCCACGCATCCCTATGTGTCCCCATGTGTCCCCACATCCCCATGTGTCCCCATGCATCCCCACATGTCCCCATCCCCACACGTCCCCATTTCCCCACGTGTCCCCATGTGCCCCCTCATGTCCCCACGCGTCCCCCCGTCCCACGTGCCACGTCCTGCTGTCCCACAGGGGCTGAGCAATGCCCGCGCTGCGGAGGTGCTGGCGCAGGACGGCCCCAACGCGCTGACCCCCCCCCCCACCACCCCCGAGTGGGTGAAGTTCTGCCGCCAGCTCTTTGGGGGTTTCTCCATCCTGCTGTGGATCGGAGCCATCCTCTGCTTCCTGGCCTACGGCATCCAGGCTGCCATGGAGGACGAGCCCTCCAACGACAACGTGAGTGGGGGGGGACGGGGGGAAATGGGGATGGGGAGAAAGCAGGGACGGGGGAACAGCGGGATGGGGATGGCAGGGGAGGGGAGACGGGGGGACATGGGGACAGCAGGACGTGGGGACGGGGAGACGGGGTTGGTGGGGACGGGGGGAGATGGAGGCGGCGTGGAGAGGGGGACATGGGGACAGGGGGTCAGAGGGATGGTGGAGATGGGGGATGGTGGGGACTGGGGGACTAAGGAATGGTGGGGATGTGGGGATGGTGGGGACAGGGGGACATGGGGACAGGGGGACAGAGGGATGGTGGGGACTGGGGGATGGTGGGGACAGGGGAACATGGGGACAGGGGGACACATAGGGACAGGGGGACATGGGGACCGTGG